ATAACGCGTTACGCATGAAAACACCTCTAAAATACGGTTTTTATTGTATCTTTGACATTTCTTTTCTTCGCTGCTACGCCCTGTCTACGTTTGTAGGGGTTGAGATACAGTCCGAGCCCGTATTTGTGCGGAGCGAGATACAGTCCGCGGCCCTGTTTCATCGCGCGATCGTGACGTTGCAGCTCCTCGAGCTGACGTTGCGCAGCTTTGCTATCGTTTACCACTTTCGCCACCCCGGCCGCTCCTCCAATCAAAGATCCGAGTGCGCCCAACATTGGCAGAAACGGTAACATGCCGCCTCGTTTCGCCGTCGGTAGTATCCGCTTTTTCGCTATCTTTTTCCTCGTCGTCTTCTTCTTCTTCGGTTTCATGCCCAAGCCGATCTTGGTCTTGGTTTTCATCGCTGCCCAAACGGCAGCAGCGGCGGCTCTCTCGTTCAGAGCCGAATCTCTCACGGTAACGCGTCCTAGCGCTTTATCGGCGAGTACCTTGTCCACCGCGTGTCTATCGGTGAGATCGATGCTCCGAGAATACGCAATGTCGTGATCTCAACACGCCGCGTCCAGCGGATTTATACCGGTATCACCTCTGGCTAATCGCTTCGTCAGCCGAGTACCCGGACCGCAAAACTGGTAGCCCGGGATATGTAACTCGAAAGGAAGCGCGTTTATCGCTCGATTCAACAGACTGCCGCCCGACGCTGACATTCGCTACAGTCCTTTATCTTCGGTGCCGGACCGTCGATGTGCGATCGTTGCCACGGCTGATTGTAGTGCTTGTCGCAGCGACGATACGTTCGAACCTCCGAATCCACCTTCACGTGTTCCGGAAGCTTGTTCCACACGTTGTCGATATAGTCACCGTACACTCGTAACAGTATGACCTTCGGTATATACTGTAACTGCTCAGCGCCCATGTCCAGAATGTCGGAAGGATGACACAGCGCGAGATACATTTTATTACTGCGCGACTCGCGGATTCACGCGCCGTTAAATAGGCGGTCGAGAGCGCACAGCTCGTAGTACGAGCATGAAATTCGTGCTGCAACCGCTGATGATACGCGTCACGAACTGCGACGTGAAATCGCGAACGACGGCAGGCGGGGCGG